GCATAAACTTCTGAATGTTTGTGGGCAGAAGTGGTGGAACGGCACAATAAGGATTAAAGAGAAGAACATCTGGTGGTGGAAGTTTTGGTAGAAGGTGCAAGACTGATCTAAGTTATTCTACCTGCAGACTTCACATCATGAATCTACAGTCTGAGAGATAAGACTGACGGAAAACTCACAGTGCTTTTATTTTGTATTGACCAGGTGGCTGTTGGACAGTGTGAATAATAAATATCCACGTCTTTCTCTGGTCCACATAACTAGGAAGCACAATAAAAATCCCATGACTTTCCAGGAGAGACATTTAGCTGAGACATTATCATTACTCTTCATGTTTAAGAGTAATGAACAGCTTTTAAGTCAGGGAAAGAAGGGGAATTTGAAATAATTCTTCAGAGCAGATCACACTTGTTTTTTTTTGGTTTTTTTTTTTCCAGGATGAGAATATTACAGATTAGCTTGCTCCATGGAACTAAAGAAGGGAAAACAAAACCAGAAAACAGCGCATCAGTCCACGATGCCACCTGATGAACACAATAAACTGGGGCTTCCCTATTAAAAATAGGGGTCCAGCGTCTGTAATGACTTGACATAAGATTTGTAAGCAACTTTTTAATTGGTATAAGTGCACAGAAATGTATCCATGGAGCTTCTGATCCTCCCCCATCACTAACCCGTGCAGTGCATCATTTACACCCCAGATTCAGTCTACAGCTCTGTTCTGGGAATCGAGCAACATATCTGTGACTACCTTTTAGTTTGCAGCATATGACTCTAATTAATGATAAGGTCCATAAATTTGTCAGGCATTTAAACAGCTTTAGGAAATTGAAGATTTGAATGCTTGTCCTTAGCCACAGATTACACCTGGCTCTCCATCACATGTTTGTTTCCTATTCAAGCATTAGCAAGAATCACTAGCTCTTTATAAGAGTGAATCATGCCTTCAGTTTCGTCAAATGATTGGTAATCTTCCCCTTCTGACTGCTCAGTTTTTCTTGTTGTCTTTGAAATTAAACAGAACATGCTTGCATCTATTTTTTTCTGGTGCAAGTAAGCTGAAGGTCTGAATTCTCTCAAAGATGTTTTGTTGCAGAGTCCATCTTGCACACAACTATTACATCTAATAAACTGCGTGTGTCTGTATGCCCATATGTACGTATGCCTGCCTGTATATGGCAAGGTATCTCACATATAGATGACAAATGTTTTCTTCTGCAAACCAAATCCCACTGTCTTCTATTTAGCCACGATGCTCAAGGGAGGCAATTATTCAAGGTAATCTGTAGATGCACAGAAAAGCAATAAATAGTAGTTACTAGGGTTTAAAACTGGGAAAACCCTGTCAGGTTGCTCTGAGGAAATCTCCAGGCACATTAAACACAAAATGCGTGGTTTTAAATAACACAGCACAGGCTTGAAAAGGGTCTGAAGGCAGCACTATTCAGATCATGGTGTTGTCATAGCAACAGACATTGAAATTCAAAATATGAAGCACAAAATGGGGGTAGGAGAAAAAGAAGGGTAGAGAACAGAAAAATATCAAGTAGTCATGAAAATCTTTAAAAAGAATATGAAAATCAGACACGCATGACCAGTGATAGAAATAATCCAAATATACTTATTCTGCATATTACTGCTTGCATTTCTTTACCTTTTCCATACAACAATTTGAAGATGTTATATATAAATATTGATAATCTATGCCTTCTAACAACCCTCAAGGAAAGTATTAAAGTTACTATTTATAGATAGAAATACTGAGGCAGAGAGAGAGGTTTGTCCAAGTAAAATGCCTATGGCAGGGGTGAAAAGAAGATGTTCATCTATTTGCTCTGCTCTGCACTCACACGGTCTTCATTTTATTGCTTTAACATGCCTAGGTTTTATGATGTTATTCTCTAGTTATAAAATAGAGAGTAAATTTCATGCATTTTCATAATAATGGTAGTAACAGTACTCTATATTTAACACAAAAGCTCCAGTCCCTTTCCACAGTGTGTGCAGTTATTAAAATCCATCTATAATATTTTGTTATTATAATAATAATAAAAATAAATACATAGGGAATAAGTAAAATGGTAAACTTCCTTTTTTTTTTTTTTTCCTCCCCCCCCCCAGATGTAGAATAATGCAGAAAAAGATACTCATTCATGCCTAACTCATGAAGGAGCCATGGCAAATGTAACCTAACAGGAAAGAATTAATGTGCTGTTTTTGGGGATTAAGGAATCGTGTTGGTCAAAAACTTGAGATTACCAGAGATTTTTTCTTTCTATTTTTATCCCTCACTGACATCTCTTCACAATATTTTATTCTACGTCTATAAATACTTATCTGTATTACTAACTCGTGTATAATAGAATTCTGAAGTATATCCATGAGATTTTTTGATGTTGAATTTTGCAGTGATTTCCACATTAATTTAGCATCTTCAAGGAGTGATAATGAGGAACTTTCCCTCTCTCTCTATTTCCTACATCTTTATATCCCTTCCAGGCATGTAATGTAATTTGAAGTTGCTGTCATTCTTGAAGTAATATAACACTACAGTATCTGTCTCCTAAGACTAACTTTAAGGTTTTTTTAATATCAGTATCAGCAATATAAACCAGACAACTTTCAGGAAGTTTAGGCAACAAGCGATAAACAAAGAAAGTAGATAAAGGTAGAGAGGAAGCTTTCAAAATTATGGAAATGTGCTGACTGAACTGGGCTGGCAACGTACCAGAAGACTGCAGAAAACAAACAGACAAAAATACACAAAGAAAACAACTACTGAAACCTAGAGCTTGACTGAGTAGAACAAAACTTCTACTAATTAGGAACAAACTCCCTGGGATTTCTAGGGTCGTAACTCTAGAAGGACCAGATCTATTCTATTGTCACAATGACTGAAAATCATCTGGTAATTAGGAAGCTAGCAGAAAATAAAGCATGAGTGCACAGAGGATGAATAATGTGAAAGGTGAAGACAGAACCAAGGTACTACACCAAGTTCTTCGTGTTATTTTCCTTGACAAGTACTATTGCTCCAGCTAGTTTGACCAGGAAGAACTCTGTGTGGTAGGTGTTGAGGTGTTGTTCCACAGACCGCAGCATTTGTCCGGAAACTCACTGAGCTCCTCTAGTGCTTTCTGCATTTTGCAGCCAGGTCTGAAGCCATGCTTCTGTGCTGTCATTGTCCTTACTAGCAGATTCAAGGTAGTAACATTGACCAGATTTACTTCAGCATAAAACTATGGATTTAACTTGAGTAGGAGCAAAGTGGGGAGGCTAGAAGACAGTATATTTGGGAATTTTGAGAGAATGGGCTGAAGCGAAAGCTTTCATTTCCCTGATCCTCGTTTTCTCCCTTGGATACTTGCAGAACTTGGCTCCTCTGTTTCCTGAGAGGGGCAGAAGAGATGATGCAGATGATGCATTGTGCTGAGTGGAGAAGAAGTCTGTGAAAACAGAGGACTGTATCTTCAGTCTGGTAGGAATAAAGTTGTCAATTCTGGCTAAAAACTGCAGTACTAATGTCCTTCTAATGCTTTCCACATTCAATTCTTGGTGGCAATTTCTAAATAAAATGAACAATTTGAATTTCAAACAAGCTTGCATATGTCTGTACTACACTGCACTGACTATAGTACAGGCCTACATTTCTTTTATATTTCTTTAATAAACGTATGAAAGGTTTGGTAATATAAACTTACCACAAGGAACTAATAATCCTTTCTTCCACAAAAAGCTGAGACAGTCCTTCAGTAATTCTAATTTTAAAAAATTCTAAGCAGAACAGTAAAGGAAGAGCTTTTTTCTTGTTGTTGGTTATTTATTTATTTATTTATTTACCCTAACACCCATGTGTACCAGTTTTCATCTGGTTCTAGGCTATCCAGGAGAGTTAACTTACCAAACAACAGACATAAGCATAAGAGGTCTTCTTCGGCCCTCTAAGAAGCTTGTCTGAAGCTGTCTGCCAAGTACAATACGACACAGCTGAAATCAGACTGAGTAAGGCTGTTCATACCTGCACTTTTCATAAAATCATTGATTATTTGAATGAAATTTGAGTATTATCATATAATTATTATTTTTTTTCAATCCAAAATATTACATGGTTGTAAAGTACCTGCAGGTAAAACACATCTTAAACCACCGTGTTTTTTATACACGCTGGCCTAAAAACAAATTCTAGCTCAGGAAGCCTTGGTTTGGAATATGGTTGCTCTGCCCATGTCCTGTTTTCCAGGTCAGTGATGTCAAAACAAACAAGATTGAAAACTTCACTGTTCATAAAGTTTTCCCAAATCTCTTGACTTAGTGTCACAGTAACACCACAGCACATAACTCTGTTTTGTTTTCTCTTGGTGTTGCCGGCTGCCTGGTCAGGTATCTCCTCACAATTTGCCATATTCTCATTGCATTCTTACCTACGATTTACTGTTCAAAAAACCACCGTCTAAAGGCTTGAAACCCACTGTACTTGCAGCTCAGTGTTGTAATTGTGCAAACATTCTGCTCCAGCTACTAACTCCTGAACCTAGCCACCTACCTCACTCTCAGCTGGGTTTTCTATGTGGCAATACAGGCATTATGAATGTGCAATGCTCCCAAGAAGACATACGCTTATTTTCAGAGATTGCTCTTAACTGCCAGAATTGATTATGAAGGTTAAAAGTAGCATTAAAACACGCTTAGTAAAAACCCAACCCAACAATAACCTGTGGAGCACTATTTTTCAGCGTTGTTGTATGATTTATCTCTTTATTTACACTACTTATCTTAGCAGGCACTTCTCAAAGATGCCTTGCTCCCTAGGACATTCAAGACCGTTTCCACTGAACCTCACCCGCTACCGGGGCAAGCCAGCTCAGGCCAAGGCCGCACCCGGAGCACAGCCCCGCTGTGTCTGGCGAGAAACCCACCCACCGCCCTACCACCCTCTACGCCGCTCTAGCCCCGCCCCTCCCCGCCTTCCGCCAATCGAGTCGCCCTGTGAGCCAAGGGGCGGCAGCTGTGGCGCGTGTTCCCTCGCTGATTGGCCGGTAGCCACTGAGCGTCAGCCGGGGGCGGAGAACGCCAGGAGTGGCTGAGAAGAAGAAGACAGCCGAGAGCTGATTCGCCGCCGTCTGTCACGTGTTACTAGAGGGGCTGTGACACCCGCTGTGGCGGAGGGGCTCGGCTTGTCAGGTAGGTGGGTGCCCGCGCCCCGCCACCGGCGCCGGGCCCTCGGGGGGGCTGCTGCCCTCCTCACATCCGGTCTGGCCTGGCTGTGCCTCGGGGCGGGGGGACGGGAAACGGGTAGGCCAGGCCCAGTCCGGCCAGGCGCGGGGCTTCACCTGCGGGCGAGGCGGGGCGGACGCCACTTGCGCTTCCCTCCGAAGGGGCAGTGGCGGTATCCAGCCGCCTCCCACGGCCCGGCGCGGGGCGGCGGCTCCGGTTCCAACCCGCACGGCAGCGGCGGCGGCTCCGCCCCGTGAGGCAGGAGGCGCGGCGGGCGCCATCCCCGCCCCCGCCCTAGGGGCTGCTGCCGAGGCCGGGGGTCCGAGCTCGGCTGAGCGGACAGGAAGAGGACAGCGCCCGGCGGCGGCACTGTCGCTAGCCGAGGGTCAGCGGCTGCCGCTCGGCCATGTGCCCCCCTCACGAACACCGCAGTACGTCCCGCCGCTCCTTGTTTCCCTTCGGCAGTGCCTTGAGGGTTGGAGACTTCTGTACTCCTTGCAGGTTCGGTTTCGAGAGCGCGGCAGGCGCTTCTTGAGGCCGCAGTGTGTGTGTGATGTTCTCAGAATCCGGTCCGGGCAGATGCGGCATGTCAGATCCTGGGCTTGGCGTCTTGGGGGGCATGACAGGCTTACGTGTTTGGTGCATGAAGATGAAGCACACAGGATGGCATTACCTGTTCTTTTCCGTGCAGGAATGCTTCTTTTCCGGTGAACGTAGTCACCAGTGTGGACATCTGGGTTTGTTGCTCTTTTCAACAACCTGTTTTCTGTTCTCCTAACAGGAGAAAAAGGAAGTGGAACCTCCCAGTGATGTGGCATAACTTTCCCACGCTCTTTAACAAACTTCCTCAGAATAACTGATGCTCTGCCTTATCTTGTTTTCAGCATCTTTGAACTAGTTGCAATACGGGCCACATCTGAAACTTGATTTTCAAGATCAAAAGAACTTAATGGGTATTATTATAAGTGTACTGACAAGGTCACACATGGTAAAGGTGTGTTTTCCTACAGAGATCACTGATGTGGTGAGCTGTGTGTGCGAGTCCTTGGAAGGTGCCAGGAGGTGGGAAGTTCATACTTCCCTTGCTGTCTGTCTGCAGTCGAAACAAATTGCTACTGATATACACGTATTATAGGATGAGTTATGGTACCTGTTTCCTCCTTTAACTAGTTCAATTTTGATCTATTATGTCACACTGTCAGTGGTGCTGCAACCATGGATGTCCAATTGTTCAGTGTTATCCCCAGAGGAGCTGAGCTTTGGGGGTACTTCTTAGAAGGGAAAGATATAAGAAATAAGGAGAATAAGGGAAAGGAAATAAGGAGAATAAGGGAGAGATATATAAGAAGCCTGTGCAAGGTTCCTTTCTGGCTGACCAAAAGCTTATAAGGCCTTACATTGCATCAGGAGAGATTCAGATTGGATATTAGAAAAATCTCTCAGAAATGAGCAGTAGTGCAATTGGATCAGGCTGCCCAGGGTGGTGGTGGAGTGGCTGTCTCTGGGGGTGTTCAGGAAACAGATGCGTGTGACACTGAAGGGCATGAGTTGACAGTTGGACTAGATAGTCATACAGGTGTTTTCTCACCTTAATGATTCTATGATTTTATCATTTAATTATCACCAAGATCCTCAGTATCATAGAATGATTTGGATTGGAAGGGACCTCAAGGATCGTCTAATTTCAAGCTCTGTGATGCAGGCAGTATTGATACCCTCTCAATCAGGTGCTATCCAACCTGACCTTGAACAGCTCCAGGGATGGGACATTCACAGCTTCTCAGGGCAGCCTGAGCCTCCTTGCTTTCCCACGAGTGTAACTTCATTCATTACTGAATCTCTCAGGAGCATTCTCCTTCAGTTGGTGTTCAGACTGCTGTGTTAAGCGCATCTGAAATCTCTCTGTCATTTGACTGTGAGCACAGGCTGGGGTAGGGGATGCAAGGATTCTAAGGTAGAGTGATGTGAAAGAAAAGTGGACCTTCCTTCAGAGGGGGACAAGTTAACATGTGCTTCACTGTAAGGAGGAGACTGAACACAGGGAAGCAAGAGCATGTGACTGTGTGCTGCACTGTCAGCAGGAACTACAAATTTTATTTCTCTTGCTGAAGGTATTCTGTGCCTGGGTTAGTGCTTCACAAAGCATGCAGGAGGGTTTGCTGACAACAGGCAGGCTGGTTCTAGGCTCCAGCCCCAGGCAGGCTTCCCGTGGCCTGTAATGTGCTTGTGCACAGACCCCACTTCCTGCCTGCTGCAAGGGGAGGTGGGCCGTCCTGTTGGCCCATGGGCTGGCAGCTGGCCGGCGCTATGCCTTACAAGGAGGTGGGTGAACTGCATGAGGTCACCGCTTCGCAGGGAGGAGGATTTTCTTCAGTGTGTGGGAAGTGGGTCTGGAAGAGGAAGGGGGAGTCTTTGGCTGAGAGGAGGGAGGAGGAGCGGCAAGAGGAGAGCTGAAATTCACTTCTGCAGAAACTAAAGTGTGTATGCCCTCTTATCTGGAGATAAAGGAGGCTGCCCTGTAGTACCGCTGAGTTACATTTTTCATGTATTTGCCTTATAAACGTAGATTTAGAAAACTTGAGCAGAGAGGATTGTTATACTGGAGAGGGAGGCTTGGAATGGTTGAGTATTTGGCATTTAATTAGGGAGTAAAAGCATTTAAAGTACTATGTGTGTAAATATGCATTAGGTGACCACAGTGCCTTAGAGAAGATTTCTTTTGAGAATTATTAATAACAAATTATTGGAATCCATGACTTTGTTTTTGGATTTTAAGAAAGGATGGTTACCTTTATTTTTAAGAGACACATGCGTGGTGGTGTACAGTGTGCAGTGCAAGGCAAGTCTTGTAAGTGCTTAATATGCAGCGTGTATCTGTAATTGCTTGTTTTTTCTTTAAGGACAACTTCTTGTGACAAGGAGTTTGGATTGCCATCATCTCATATCATGAAATCACATTTCAGGGTACGACTGTAATTTTTTTTAATTATTTTAACAAGTTCAAGTGCAGAATTAGGTTTGTTTCAAGTGTCGTGAATCTGAAGCAGTTTAGATTTTCTCAATGCTGGGTATTTCTGTGATGATAAGTTCCTGGTAAGTTTCTGCTCAGTGTGGTTATTAATCTGAGTGATTGAATTGTACTTCATCTTCTACTTTAATTTTCAGATCACTGTTTCATCTACAGTTGCCAGTTTCCTTTACATTACTGCCATTCTGCACTACATGAAAGTGCCAGATGGTTTAACTTCACTTTCCAACTTACTTTCCCACATCTGAGCTTGTTACTAACTGGCTCACTGCGCACCTATAGTTGACACAGCCGAGCACAGAGACAGCTCCTCGTGTTCATTGCTGTTCTGTGGCTTGGTGACTGTTCTCTTGCCAGGGGTACCAGTTTGTCAGGGCTCCTCACCTCCAAAATGTATTAATCAGCTTGAAAGGATGTAGTTCTGGTTGCTTAGTCATGTCTGTGTTGTGAGCTTGCTTCTTGAGCAGCAGAGATATTTTGTTAGGCTTTCTGATGTCATTGCGCTTTTCTGCTGAGGGCAGAGGTACAACTTGGACCAGAACTTGCACTTAGTTTCTTGTTTGGCTGAATGTGGTGTAATAGCAGTGCTTGTGTGCTTTGAGACATTCCTGTCACATAGTTCTGTACTGACACTCTCACATGAAGCTTTCTACCGTTACAGGAAAAATGTCATTTAGGATATGCTTTACAATACTGCTTCCATGATAATGTAATCCATTTGGAACTACAGTCTCATTAGGCACCAATAATGAAAATAAGTAATGAATAACTACTTAATTGTTTTTATTGTTGGGCATTTTTCTACATGGTGTTCAGATTTTGTTTTGAAGACCATCCTTTCACAAGGTCTTTTGTAATTTTCATCATAAAGTCGCAGTGCCTCCAGCCTTTATTTCATATTATGTTTTTGGAAGCTATTTATTTTGACGAAGCTGAGGCATGAAGAAATTAATACTTAGTGTTAGAATAAATTACCGTAATTAAGGCCTAATGAAAAATCAATTATCTCTTAAATAGAGGCAACCCGTGAAAAGTTTGTGAATTGTTTACTGTTATGCGAGAGCTCTTCAACAGAAGAAGAAATGGAATCCAGAGTAATATTAATGTGTGTTAATCACAAATTATTTGTTCCTTGAAACTGCTCATTTAGAAACTGAGAGACACAAAATTACAGCAGTGAGCATGATGGCATTGTGGAGATGAGCCCCTCTGACAGAACACTGAATCATCCCCAGAGCTCTCCATCCTCTAATAAATGAGTCGGGCATTTATTGGGGTTTGTAATTACATGATCACATAATACATGTTCCAAGGAGGGTGGCATTTAGAGTTTCATCCTCAATTTGTGAATCTTTTAATTTCACAACTTGATTTGTCAGCTCTGCTACTTTTCTTCAGCTCTGTTTATGCATGACTTTTTGCTTTAGAAAGACTGGAAAATCTGATTCCATACTTTTACAGTGTATTGAAATTCACATTGTTATCATATTTACATGGTTTGCAGTTTGTACTGCAATAGTAAGTTGTTTTTTCTCTGAGCAAAACAGACTGGACTGGAGGACTATGAATATTGTTTTCTGAGTATTTAATAAAGGCAGGAGTAAGTTTATTGAATATTTGGTGTTTAATGCTCAGACAAGTAACGTGTCAGTAATATTTCAGCTAGTGTTGAGGAAATGACTTTAACTTTGGTGACCGTATGAAGAATTAAGAATACAGTCTTTGTATAAATCTGCTTAGTTTTTGAATACTTAAAGCCTCTCTTACTTGTTATGCAATTTTATGCAGGTTTTTTTTTCTTTTTTTTTTATAATGAAGTTAGTGTAGTATATTGCCACCAGATCTGTTATGATACAGTCTTTGAATATATATATTTTTTCTTTTATTTTTTCCCCTTTAGGGAATATCTGACTCCAAAGCAGTGGTTTCTGCTTGGAAATGTTCATTAATGTAAGACAGTGTCCTCATGAAACTTGTTCCAGAGAAGGGGTGCATTTTAAATAAGGTGATTAAACTTAAAAAATGTGAAAGCATGGACAATTCTATGAAACACTGAGTAAAGGTATTTAAAAAAAATAAAATTGTCCTATTCCTTCAGCAAACTGTTATGACAAGTGCTTTTGTAGACAATTTCAGTGAAAATCATTCAGCTTTGGAGTGCCATTCCACTAACAAAAAGCTAAAAAGCATGAAAGCGGAACACACACCTGCTTTTTGTTGGTGTGAGTTTGTCATATGTTAAAACACACACGCGCACACACACACAAGAAAAAAAAAAAAAGAAAAAATCCTAAAGCACTATGAGTGGTGTGCTTTCTCTGAAGGAGAGAAGGAGAGTTGCCTTTCCATCATTTCTGTGGTATATGTTTGTTCACCAGTTCAATTAAAAAGATGTGGTAACTCAGCAGATGAAAGGAAATGCTTAATTTGCTAATGCACAAAAATGTTAGCAGTTGAAAGTTGGAGAAAAATGGGTTTGATGGATAGACAACTCCCTGGATAAAGGATTGGCTGGATGGTTGTACTCAGAGAGTTCTGATCAGTTGTGCAGTGCCCAAGAGGAGACCAGTGACAAGTGGATTTTCTCAGGGATCGCTGTTGGGTCTGGTGTTACTTAACATCTTTGTAGGCAATGTGGACAGTGGGATTGAGTGCACTCTCAACAGGTTTGCAGACAACACCAGGCTGAGTGGTGCAGTTGACTCTAGAGGAATGGGATGCTATCCAGAGGGACCTGGACAGGTTTGAGAGGTGGGCCTGTGCCAACCTCATGAAGTTCAACAAGGCAAAGTGCAAGGTCTGGCATTTGGGTTGCGGCAATCCCAAGAACAGATACAAGTTGGGTGGAGAATGGCTTGAGAGAAGCCCAAAGGAGAAGATTTGGGATAGTCAGTTAATGAAATTCAACGTGAGCCTGCAGTGTGCAATTGCAGCCCAGAAAGTCAGCCATTTTCTGGGTTGCATCAAGAGAAGAGTGAAGAGTAGGTTGAGGGAGGTGATTCTGCCCCTTTCCTCTGCTGTTGTAAGACCCCAACCTGGAATACTGCATCCAGTTCTGGAGCCCCCAACACAAGAAGGATATGGAGCAAATGGAGCAGGTTCAGAGGAGGACAGAGATGATCAAAGTCTGGAGTACCTCCCCTACAAGGACAGGCTGTGAGCTGGGGCTCTTCTGCCTGAAAAAGGCTCCAAGAAGACCTTAAAGCAGCTTTCCAGTACGTGAAGGGGGCATCCCTGCCTATAGCAGGGGGATTGGAACTAGAAGATTTTAAGGATCCCTTCCAATCTAAGCCATTCTATGATTCTATGAAATGTGCAATTGAGAAACTGTAGAGAATTATAAGGTGTGTAAGAAAGTTTCAGGAAGGCCTTTCGGTGACCATTTCTGCCTCTTGCATTAGGTGAATGTTGAAACTGGAGTGGCAAATTTCTCATCAGTAAATGTGTAAAGTAAATCTGATTAAGAAGCTTATTTGACATCTGAAAATATGTAATGTGTTCAAAAAATTTTTTTTTTTTATTTTTTTTTTTTTTTATTTTTTTTTTTTTAATTGGAGAGGAGAATTACGTGCTTAACTCTGGTCAGAAATCTTGGTTTCATTCAGTCCTTGTCTTCCTCTACAGGTTAAAAATAAGAACCTCATCAGTCTATCTGGATTGTGTCTGCAGTGTGGTCCATAAAGACATTACAGATTTAGATATGGAAACAGATGGTTGTTACCAGTTATTGCAGCAGGATGGCTCATGTCTTACTGCATGTTTTTTTTTCTTAGATTAAATTGGGATTTCAGATATAAAGATGCAGTTAGTGAAATTCCTGTTAAGTATCCCGGAGAATAGTAAGGCAAGAATTCACACAGGCATTTAAATAATTATTGCATAAAATACAAATGTTTCTATCATCTTTTATTTATTTATTTTTTTTCCTGAAGAATGACCGTCAGTGGTTCTGTGTTCTGAAGAGCGTTTATTTCATGAATAAAATAATTAGCTGGTATCCTCTCTGGAAAGAATACTTTTGATACTCAAAATGAAATACTACTGTAAAAAAAACAAACAAACAAACAAAAAACAGGCTGCTGTTGTAATAAGTTCATTTACACTGAGTCTTATGTATGCAAACACACTTCTACATCAGGCGTTTATGCATGCCTTTTATTGTTCTTGTGCACTTCAGCATTATTTTTTCCAGAGACATTGGAGGTTAATGTCCACATCTTGTCACAGTTTGCTCTGACACCCAGTATGTTATAATGTAAGTAAACATAATTAAAGCTTAGTCGATTTATACATTTTCAAATGAGGTAATGCATCTCAGGAGTGTTCTTTATAACTAGGGATGATATCTGAGCAAAACTGACTGAACCTGAAATAGGATAGCTTTTTTCATGTTTCCTGAAGAATTATATTTTCATAAGGTGTTTGTATTAAAATTGTTATGTATGTGAATTTGCACCGCAAGAACAATATTTGAGAAGTTGCAAACGTCTGGTTCAGTCATCTGTCTTTTGAGTGACTGCCCTTATAGTGAGAATCACTTTATCTCATCTAAAAGAAGGAGTTACCATAGTAAGCATTTTTCAGGACGTGGAGCATGCAAAGGAAAAGTCATCCAGATGAGTTACAGCAAATAAAAATTTCAGACAGTGTCTTTTATCAAATTACATTATATGATTTATTTCCTACAGTGTAAGAGTCTGGCAAATGAGCTATGAGGAAGGGATTCTGTTCTTGGACTTGTGTTTCTTATGGGCTAGTTTCCCGTGTAAAGAACCATGAGAATGATCTACATTTAATGTGGTACAGTGCCAAGGAAATAAGTGATCTCAGGAAAATTGAATGAACTATGAATTAACTAAAAAGTGTTATATAAACCAGAAGGATGTAGTTAGCTTAATGAAGGTGGAAAGAAGCAGCCACCACCGTATTGCTTTCTGAATTTCTTTTCAGTGAATGATAAGTACTTGGAACTATACTATTTTTCTCTTACAGAGACCTGTGTGTCATATATTACAAACCATTGGTGAGTCTTTGGTCTAATTGTTTTGGCTTCTGGGATAAATTCTGTTTGATTTTGGGACATAGGGAGAAAATAATACAGTTGGATCATAGTAGCCCTGTGCAGTAGTGTAGGCTTGGGTAGGGTGGCTTGAAAGTTGACTGTCAGAAAGTGGGGTAGAGGGTGCTGGTTGTCAGCCAGCTGAACATCAATGAGCCAGCAGTGTGCCCAGCTGGCCAAAAATGCCAGTGTCATACTGTTCCTCTGTGTGGCACTGGTGAGACTGCACCTTGCGTGCTTTGCTCAGTTTTGGACCCCTCTCCAGAAGAAGAGCATTGAGTTGCTTGACTGTGTGCCAGGAGAGCACCAAAGATGGTGAAGGAATTGGAAAACAAGAGTTATGAGGATTTACTGAGGGGACTGAAGTTGTTTGGTTAGAGAAGAGGAGGCTGAGGGAGACCTTATAGCTCTGTACAACTGCCTGATAGGAGATTGAGCACAGAGGATATTATTCAGAGAATCACACACAGAACTGCAGAGATTTGAAGGAACATCACAATATCATCGAGTCTAACACCCCTGCTAAAGTAGCTGCTGTATAATAGGTTGCATAGGTAGATATTCATACAGATCTTAAATATCTCCATAGAAGGTGTCTCCACAACTTCTCTGGGGAATCTGTTCCAGTGTTCTGCCATCCTTAACGTAAAGAAATTCTTCTGTGTTTTTGTATGGAACTTTCTGTGTCCGAGGTTCTGAGGTTAGGCCATTACTCCTTATCTTACTGCTTTACACCAGCAAGAAGAGCTGGGCCTCATCAGTTTGCTTTCCACCTCCCTTTACATCATGAGCATCAACTATTGCTTTGCCTGGGCTGCATGTAATGAACAGAAATTGTCTTGAGCCACATACAGGTAGGTTGTTCCAAAAGTAAAGCCTCCTATTTATTTCTATGGAAACTACATCTGATACAAAGAGCATAGTAACACTGTTTGATAGAGCACATCTCAACTACAAAACGCTAATTGCCAACTTAGTCACTACCATTAACTATGCATTTTCACCAGTGATGAGTAAAAGCTTGCATACTGCCCTCATAAAAATCTCAACCAGAGGAGGTGACTTACTGTCATCAAGACTGAAACACACCATCCACCACATCACTGTGCTGACATCCACTATTTGGTCTCCATAAATGTTCAGCAAGCATCAATGAATGTCAGTAGATGCAGTTTTTTCTGCATGGTGAAATTCAGTGATCAGTCTTTGCTTCGTATGCACTTCCACACTGACTCAGTTTTGTCAGGCTGCCCCTCTGCTACTATCTGTAACACAGCAACCAGATGTCATGGAATATTGTTGGGAAGGTTCTGCCTCTGTTGTTATACCATCTATGTCCTCTTCTGATGTTAGGAGTCAACATAATAAAATACAAGGCATTACTTTTGGAGCAGCCCTCACAAAGTACACACAATTATATATTGATAATTTTTAAGTCCAGAGAGTCCTATTCAGGCTCCAGTTGGTCCAGGAGAACCTCATGAAGTTCAACAAAACCAAGTGCACCATCTTGGGTATGGATCACGGCAGCCTCCACTACTACCAATACAAGCTTGGGGATTAAAAGATTGAACACAGCTGTGTGGTAAATGTACTGCTTGGCGGTACTAGTGGACAGGAAGCTGGACATGAGGCAGCTGTGTGCCTAGAGAGATGTGGACTTTTTGGACCATGTCCAGAGGAGGGCCACAAAAATGATCCAAGGGATGGAACACATCTACAAGAGTACACTGAGAGAGCTGCGGCTGTTATGCCTGAAGAAGAGAAGGCTACAGAGAGACGTGAAAGCGGCCTTTCAGTATCAGAGATGGGCTGTAAGAAAGAAGGGGACAGACTCTTTAGCAGTGTCTGTTGTGACAGGAATGGGAAAATGGTTTCAAACCAAAAGAATGTAGATTTAGACTGGATATATGGAAAAAGTGTTTCATAGTGAAGATGATGAGACACTCAAACAGGTTTGCCTGAGATATGGTGGAAGGTCTGTCCCTGGGGACGTTGAGGGTGGGGCCAGTGGGGGACCCTGAGCAACCTGATATAGCTGTGGATATTCCTGTTGACTACAGTGGGGTTGTACTGTAAGGGTTCTGTGATTTCGTTTTCAAATTCCTTTATCAAAACAGAAATCACAACGGCATATTTTTCACTGTTCAGAGCGATGAGTTAAGCCACTGTATCAAAATGCATACAATTTTTTTTACCTTTCTTTGTGTCAGTGCTGGCCTCCCCATGCCCTGGTTTCAGTTGACAGAGAGTTAATAGTGCACTGATGATTTGATTTGATTGTTGCTAAACAATGGGCAGGTGCCCAGGGTGGTTCCACTGGGAAGAACAGCCACCTTTAATCTGCACGGAGGGGGTGCACTGTGTTGTTAGCCATGCTGGGCCGCATGCAGTCTGCAGGCCACGGGTTGGACATGCCTGCTTTAGGTATTTATAAGCATTAATCAGGTCTTCCTTCAGTCTTCCCTAGGCTGAACAGGCTCAGGTTACTCAGCCTTTCCTCATATGAAAGAGGCTTCAAGCCCTTTATCATCATTGTGGCCCTCTGCTGGACTCCTTCTAGGAGATCTCTATCTTTCTTGAACTGGGAAGCCCAAAACA